ACTCCAAAAGGAATTACCTATGTATCTATTCTACTACCTTTTATGAAGCAAATTACCAAGAAGATTCAAGTTGAATTTTCAATTTTAATGTTTGCCTGAACAAACTGCAAACTTGTCCCCATTCTAAGAGCTACTATAAGAAAACCACCTTATATGTAAAATATCTTAACTCTGTACCCATGCAGTAAATGAGAGAGACACATGAATGACTGGAATGAGAAAAGAAATAGATCAGCATTTCTCATGACATCACAAGCTACAGACTAAGATCTACAAGCGTTATATCACTAGCACCTTTCAGCACTATTTCCCTTCCAAAAATCTGATTACCTTCTGGATGACAGAAGATTTTATTTGCACATTTTTGTTTCATGATAATGCCCCTTCCTTAGTGTCGTGGTTTAACCCCAGCCAGACAGCTTTCATTCACTCCCCCCCCCCCTTCTTGCCCTCCCCCTACTCTCGGAGGGACGGAGAGGAGAATCAGAAAGAATGCAACTCCCACGGGTTGAGATAAGAACAGTTTAGTAACTAAGGTATAACACAAATCACTACTGCTACCTCCAATAATAGTAATGATAAAGAAAATAACAAGGGAAGAGAATACAACACCTCATCACCAGGCGACCGATAACTTGCTCCCCCCAGCCCGATCAAGCACCAACCGATACCTTCTCCAACCCTGCAGTCCACTCTAGCCCCTTCCGGGTAACTCTCCCAGTTCCCTCCTGGGCATGACATGCTGTGGTATGGAATACCTCTTTGGTCAGTTTGGGTCAGGTGTCCTGTCTCTGCTTCCTCCCAGCTTCCCCTCCTCCCTGGCAGAGCATGAGGCCCACAAAGTCCTTGGTCAAACCAAAACATCATTGTTTTCAGCTCTGTTCCCAGCCCAAAAGTCAAAACACAGCACTGCATCAGCTACCAAGAAAAAGAAAAATGACTGCGACTGCTGAACCCAGGACACTTAGGTAACTTTCTGCACAACTGCTTCCTTAAGTAGGTGGCTCCAGGCTAAATATTCTTGCCCCATCATAGGGATATACTAATCCCATTGCTCAAATGGGAAAAAAAGGAAGTTATACAGTTCAGGCAACCCATTCATATCCACTTGTGCACACTGCCCATATGACTATTCTTGTGCCAGACTGAGGAGATTTCACAGAAAGTGAATCCCACACTAAATTGCCATTACTGTATCCTATCCATGCTCCAGCTTTCCTCTAATGCTGCCTCTTATCTGCTGGACTAAAGCTGGCCTCTCTAGAGAATCACTTCCTCACCAGTGACCTTACCCAGGAATGGAGTTTGGTTAGAAACTAAGAATGGGAGATGGGCCTTGAAAATTACAACTCCAGGAATATCATGGTGCTTTTCCAATGGAATTTTTTTCAGGTTTTGATGACTGGCATTTTATGAAAGGACATGTGAGAAGGGAATGCTTAGTAACACACACAGACACACACACACACACATATATATAAAAGGTTGTGGGGAAAAAAGTCTCATTTTCAATTAAATAGAATTTCAATAGGAAAAAAACCTCAACCATCTATTCAGCCTGATGCTTCTTCAATAAGAGAGAATTCAAGCTTGCAGGATATAATTGACCAGCATGGAATTTTGCCAGGATACCAAGATAAACATAATTACTCATATTAAGAGTGTTAATTAATTGTTTGTGAACACAAATAATTGGCTGCTTGCTTTTATAGCTCATTAGAAAGCCAACAATTGTATTAGACATTGTCCAGCAGCCATCCTAGGACCACTGAGCTGTAACCACCAGAAGTCTGAAACTAAGCCAGTAGAAATCAGTGAGAGGTCAGCCACTAAATGCAAGCTCCAAGGAAAAAGATAGTGATGCCTAGTAAATGAATATTAACACTTTCTGGACAAAAGAGGGCCCTTTTTTTTTTTTTTGTTTGCTTGTGTTTGTTTTTTTTTTGGGGGGGGGGTGTTTTGGTTGTTGGGGGTTTTTTTGTTTGATTTTTGCTTGTTGGTTGGTTGGTTAGATAAATCATTCTAACAAAGATCTCTTTAAAAACCCCAAGGAGCTGCCAGACAGAGTTAAACAATATTAGTTATGAATCAGTGACCTCAATATATGCTACCTATGAGACATTATGCAATTAGAAGTGTAAACAGTGATCTCCAGCAGCTTCCCTGGCAGAGCTATGCACAAGCACTGCGACAGTCAGCTTCACAAGAGCGTGATCTGCACCTGCTGGGGGTTATTGATTAACAGGGGGAGTGCCTGCATTCTTGGCAGACAATAACTATATCCTTACAAACCGCTGATGGGCTAAACAAGCTATTAATGACAGGTTGCCCTTCACCATTTAAAACAGAGAGACTCTGCTGCTTGACCACAAGGACAAGCAGGTTATTGCTTTGAAATGTTATACAAAAGACACAAATGAGGCATCTCTAATGAATAAACCACAAGGAAGGCTCCATGGTTCTTATTAGGAAGAGCTATTAATAGAAAACAGGACCTATTCAGGGTTGCAGATATATAATCGTCTGTGACAAGATTTCTCCAGTTTGTTAAAACTTGTTATTCAGAAAGGAATTGCTGAGTCTAATTCAGCAAATAACCACCCAGATTCTTTGAGTAAATGCTTCTGAGCTGACCTAAGTCCCGATGGTCAGCAAGGAGTGCAGCTGTGGCACACATGGAAAGGCAGATAGACCTTCCACCCAGCAGCAGCTGGCACAGATCCTCCAGGAGGGCCAGCTCTGACTGAGAAACAGGCACATAGACCTGCTGAATAGTTCTCCAATCTACAAAACCAGTATTTCTGTTTAGAAGAGCATGTTTTTAAACTGGAAGCATTTCCAAATCATGGAATCATAGAACGGTTAGGTTTGGAAAGGACCTTTATTTATTTTTAACAACAGTCGATATACTACTTTATTTTACACTGGTGTGTTGCTAGATGCTAGATACCAGGATGGCAGGACCTACTGAAACATGGGTAAGCAGTAAAATAGGCTTCAATTGATTGAACGGGATATGCACACAGATAAATGGGAACATACAGACCCCATAAAGATTATATCCCAAACTGTAAAACACCCCTTTTTACCAAAGGGATTAGATAACAGATTACCAAGTCAATTATAAAGACTTGGTTTTTTGTTGCCTTTTTTAGGGTGGAAAACTTCCTTACAAGTATTTGGAGATGCAGTAATTTAAAGCAATCATGTGACCTAATTCTTGCATGGAATGTCCCTATAATTCATTGGAGTCCAAAAGGTCTTTGTGAACCTATCTGACATAATGTTGAGCTATACAACAGTTTCCAGCACAAATACTCCCATCTCTGGGTGTCTTGGGAAACAGTTAATTCCCTTGAGTACCCATTCCCGGAACATACCTTCTAAGATCACAGAATTCTCAGACCTGGAGGGTTTTGGCACGTCTTTCAGAGAAATACAAAGCAGCTAACACATTTAACGAAGTTAAATTTTTATTCCAATATATAGCGTGTTACCCTGCAAAGAAGTTAACACAGCATTGCTCTGCAGAGAACCTTTCCAGCTCATTTTCCACAAATCCCAGGGAAGCCCTTAAAACCAGTGCACCCCACTCCTGGTCCACCTATTCCCACTACGCAAAACCCATTGAGCCTCTTCTCCTGCACCTGTCGGAGTGAGGTGACATTATAAATCAGACCTGCAGCTGTCACTATCGCAGCACTCCCAATTTAGAAGAAGTACCCATCATGGTCATCTGTCAAGACTACAGCATCTTTATAATGCATTAGAAAAATTCTCTGAACCCATCAGATTACAAGTACCTGACACTAGCAGAGGAATGAAACATTTTAAAAATTTAAGAGACTCAACTAGCATGCAGGATACCAATGGAACTAGCAAACAAGATTAATTTCAAACTGCTTCCAAGAACTATTCGTAACACTCATCTATTTATTCTATTTACAGAGTCAACAAAATACTAGTTGTAATGGAACATTTAATATGCCACCATTATGAAGGGGAAACTATTGACAACTATGCCGGAATATACATCCTTTTCATCCTGTTGTTACTCCAAGAATATATTGGTACACAAGCTCCTACAAATCGTATTTCCCAAGTGACTCCCAAAATCAAAAGCAACAACAGAATAGCAATTTTTTTTCAAATGTTCATGCAACACACTATGATATTATTTTAACACTAGTATAGAGCAGTATAATATTTCTATATAAAAAGACATTAATTTAAACACTTCTCATGATGTACTGAGATATACATGCCATTAATATCAAATATTTTTATTTAATGGGATTTAAAAATCTGTTAAGATGAACTACTTAATGTTCTGATGATTGCTGATACTAGCATCCTAGGCTCAATGAGTTTCAGACTTGAGACAATATTGTATTTTTTCCAGTTTTGATCAACTGATTAGTTTTTAATGTTAAGTATGCTTTGCCATCACTTGCGGTTTTAATATGCTTACTTAAACCAAAAATATTTTGAACCTCAATTATTATTTTCTATTGCGGCACTGAATGGAATTTAAGTCAATACATTATTCATAAAGCAAAGACGAGAACAAAACAAAGCTATGCACTTCTCTCAAAGACTTCAAATTACTAAAACGTACCATATTTATGCATGCAATATTTGGTGGTGTGTGTGTCTTTTTTTTTTTTTTTAATCACAAGTTTGTTGTTTTCAGATCAGGATATGCCAAAAATCCAACACCAAACAATTTTTGTTTATAATTAAGGCAATCATCAATCCAAGGTTTGTAGTTCATTTTATTTCATCTCTACATCAAAAAAAGTAATTTAAAAAAATTAAAATTCCCTTGAAATGGTAAGATAAATGAAAATGTAAGTGCCTTCACATAATAACAGTAAGCTGACCCTCTGGGAAATGGTTGACTTTCTCAATTCAAGGTATTCAAAGCTCATTCAAAAGTGTTCATTTGGAATGCAGATATCAAAGATGATGCAAATGTTCAAGAGAAAATTAAAACTTACCAGATGTTCTAATCCAGCTTTGATGTTTCCAGAGTCCCTGTAACAGAAGAACAAAAGTTCTAAATAGTTGCTAAACCCTTGTCTACAACAATTTATGTTTAACTCAGAAATGTCAAAGCCATGTAATTTCTTCAGTATGTAAAATCTTTTACTTTTAATATCTTAATCACTGCAACACCTAAAAAGTATTAACTATATTAATTAACCTAATGCACAACTACAGATTTAAAACCTCAAATTTTGCCTGCCTGGAAATTGCTATAAACTCCAGCCATGCAAAAGGACAGGCATTTAAAAAACAACATTTTAAACATAATTATTCCACTGTTCATACTGAAAATAATAAAACAAGACCATACAGAATGCAATTTATCAAATCCACATTCAGTGACTCATGGTTCTGCTTTGCCACTGCTTCAATAATAAAATTCTGTGACTATTTACAAAGGTGATAGACTGAATAAATTGTATAATAACTAACAAGGTCATGGCAAGCATAGTGAAACTTTGAACTTGACTCCTGACAGCTGAAAAACATACAAATGTACAGATACAAAAATGGGAAGTAATGTTGCATAAAGACAGCTGCGAAAAAAATGGACCAATTTATCAGAGTAAAAACACTGAAAAGCAAGGAGAATTCAGAGTGAAAATTATTCCTTAATAAATCCTGACACATACAAAAAAAAAAATTAGCCTGAAAGAAATTTGAAGCAAAAGAAAATTTTAAAATCCTTAAATCCCAAGCTACTAAACAGGGAGGCTAGTTTCTGCTTTCGTTGACTTCAGGTTCCGCCTGCTTCCAAGAAATGTAACTGTACCTCTTGAGGAAGATGTGCTACAACAATGGCAAACAAGGAGAAACCACCCCACAAGGATTTCAGTGTAATATGTATTTCTAATATTACTTTTTCAACAAATTATTCAAAAATATCACAATACCGGAGAAAGAGACCCAACCAAATTCCTCATTCCTCTAAGTGTGTGAGACTGAGGCTTCCATTCTCTTTAGCACTTGCTACAGGCTGGGAAAGGTATAATGGGAAGTTACACCAAAAAATCATTATATGTATGAAATTTTACTAGATACTGAATAAGGCTACATTAAAGTATGCATTTTACCACCTCGCTGTACAGTATTTTGGACTTTTCATAGAATGCTTTTATTTATGATTTTATAAAGCTTTCAAAAATGTCTGCCATGTACCTTTGTTCTATTTGAATGTATCATGAATGAAGCAAGAGAAAAAGATGGAGAAAAAGATGCACTTCCCTTACACCACTGTTCTATATTCTCAAACCAGAACTTATTATTGTGTTCAGACAATATTTAAATAGAAATAATCTCCCACATTTATTTTTGAGGTGCTAAATGACCTCAAATAATTAAATTACTTTGGAAGCAGGATCCAAGATACAGATGCTCCCAACTACTGGTATAAAACCTGCCCTGTTAGTGGTCTGTCTCCTGCGCCATCCGTGTCATGACTTCATCAATATTTGTGCAGCTCCTTTTTCCCTGTGCTGAAAGCAGACTTAATTCAATTATAGGTCTCAAAACTGATAAAAAAGGTCCTGAAGTGGAAAATGCGAAGAGATTATTGGCAAATGAATAAAGATTTGTATCGAACTAACACACAAGAGTACAGCAGGGTTGGGGTTTTTTTTTAATCATTCCCTGTCTTAGGTCTTCTGGGAACAGTAAGTTTCCCTTTCCCTCATGCAGCACATCGATTTCTGAATTAGACTGCAATATTAAATAATTAATATACTTGCCATGATTGATGTTTTGCATTAGTTGAATATTAGGTTATCAATCAAAATCCACTTGGTTTAATGTAATAATATTGAAAAAGTGTCACTGGCTGTTCATCCAATTTGTAGTTGAGGCAGCACAGATAGCAATATTGGTGTAACGCAAGGCTCTAACGCAGGAAATACAGCGGTTGAACATACATAAGGCAAACATTATCAAACTAACCAGGACAAGGTTGAGGTTGTCCTAAATAAACCTTGTGGCACCTGTCACTTCCAATGAAAACCTCCTTCCAGCTGGAGGCTGCTGTGCATCAATCAGTGTCGACAACTAGTGAAGCCAGGGCATAATTTTATCTTCCCAGTTAAAAAATAATTATACAAGTAATACTCCTGTTAATGCTATATTTCAAATTTCGTGTTATGCAAACAGCTCGTTTTAACACATAACCTTAAATGTCTACCAAATACTTTAATCATTCCTACTGTAAAACACCACAAATAAAAGGCAAGAGCAGTTTTATGCACATCCAGTATTGTAATACTCCTATAAAGGAACACCATAAGAAAGTTACATTAATTCTATATCATTATCAAGTATTAAAGTTTTATTCAATTTTTACACCATGGCATTCCCAACAAGATACTTATTTTCCTTTCCTTCTGTGCCCAGTGCACCACATTTATTCTTTTGGTTTGTTAGGCAAGTTTGGTTTTATTCCCAAGTCTTAATTCTTTCCACCAGAGAAGCTCTGGAAATGTGTTTCCCCACTACAGTCAAGACTTCATGCTGTAAAATACTAGTTGATGTGCATATATATATTTTAAAATTGTACATTAAAAACAGTAAGAGTAATTCTCATGCTAATCTATATGTTAGGTTTTGGTAATGCCAGGGGAAAAAAATGCAGCTACGTTTGAATCATGGTCATGAGGGACCTGTAACAAGGTCAGGTATTCCAAGCCAGCTATTCCATTAAGCAAGTGGACACAACTTTTCAGTTACTTAAAACCACAGCATAGGTAACCAGTTGAGATAGTGTTAACTTGTTAGCGCTAGTTCCTTTGCCAGTAAACTAAACTAAACATACTCACTAGCACTTGCTGGAGTATTCTGCAATTTTAGGAATGTATTCCAAACGAAAACTAACCAGCCTTGTTCTTAATTTCCTCTCAAGTTATTATCAACTCATTCTCAATACTTCCCTTATATTTGTAGTTAATAACATCCTTTGCTATAGCTTTTCTGTTAGAATCCATAGGCCATAGAATAATTCTATGGATTATCTGTATCTCTGGATAAAATGGGATAATTCAGGTCAAAGGGCCTCTGTAGGTCTGTAGCCCTACAACGTCCTCACAAGAGGTCAGGTCTAAGGCCAGACCAGGCTGCTCAGGGTTTTATCCTGCCTCCTTGGGCAACTTGTCTTGTTGATTAAATGTCTTCACCAGGGCCATCTTCCTTTTTATCTAGTCCAAAAGTCTCAGTGACCTCCCTCCTCATCAGGCTGGACATCTGCTGTCAAGTGCCCTCAGAGCCATCTCCTCCAGTCCCTCAGGTTCCCTCCCAGGGCAAGTGCTCCAGCCCCAGACTGTCTTGGTGGCCTGAACTCTACGCTAAACAGTCCCAATACCCGATTTATCTCCTCAGAAGCCAAATGAATAAATAAATCATCTCATCATTATCAAGGCCTTTGGCAGAATCCCCTTCCAGTTCCACAAAATTAACTATAAGCTGCAAAGAAAAAGGTCACACATAGCATCTCGGGTCAGGCTGCACTACACTTTCAAATAAAGGCCTTTTAACTCCACTCTTCATGAATGCCAACATGTGAACATTGTTTATCAGGCAGCATTATGCCAAGTGGTTACAGATAATTTTCATAGAGTTCTCTCACCCTAATAAATTTCTTGGATCAGTCAACAAGCACATCACCTAATCCTTTCAATAATGTGTCAAATATCATTTTAAATTAACCCCTTTTCTGTCCCAGTATTCCAGGATTAAGAACCTCACAGTTAGAGATGCTCTTGGAACAACTTCATGTTTTCTTGTTCTTTATCCTCACATTAACATGCTTCTCTGCTTACTGTCATGTAATGGCCTTCCACACAGGTCTTTCTTGGAGTAGCATACTGTTTTCTTTCACATGCTATCAATCCCCACTTGTATTCTGGATAAATGACCTTAAAATAGAGAGCTGAATTTCTTCAGAGCTTCTTTATGAACTTCAGCAGGTAACAATATATTAAACACTCACCAATACAAGCAACACAAAGGAGTATAAACGTATTATGCAAAACCCGCTACAGTGGGGATCTTGAAGCTTTTAACGGTTTTCTAACTTTTATCTCACATGCACATTTTGGAATAAAACATTGTGTGGGCTCATACACACCACTTAATCACAACTGAATGCTTAGCCTGTACAATGCGCTTGTGACCTTATCACCATTTTGTGCTGCACTTACGCAAACATTTAAAATGTTATATTCTGTAATAGCTGCACCAACTAATTTTAAGCCCACAGAACAGCCAGACATCAAGAGTAAAATAGTCATTGCCAAATCACGCCTTTTCTCAATTCCAGAACAAAATAAAAGCCTAGTATAGAAAAAAGTATTTTCTGTCAGCAGCAACTAGAATAAAATCACACAATTATTACATTTGCACAGTGACTGTTCAGAAGGTATTACATATCTGAAGTTTTTTCCTGAAGTAGCTTGAATTTCATCCTCAAAGTGTCCTGGACACAGTTTTTAGAAATGGGTACTCCCATCACATTCCACTAAATTTTATAGGGCTTTTTATATTGTTGTGTTTTCTGTAAAATTATAGGCTAATGTTTCCAAATCTGACTTCAGACCATAGATACTTATTTCAGTAGGCTTTGAAAGACACAAAGATTACATGAAAAACTAAGCCCCATGCCTGTCCTCTCCTTCAATACTACCTTCAAGAGGACAGTGCTGACAGTCCTGAGTGAACAGGTAAATTCCTATTGACTTCTGATGACAAGCTGGTCTGATATCACATCAGTGGTCTGGCAGAACTGCTGGCAAAGACTACATAATGTGAAGAAACAGTGCTCCAAGAAACATGTTGCTCTTCAACACTACTACTTCAGCTCCTCTTGGCTATAAAGAAAAGTAAGGCTCTGTTTTTGTAGCTGTAAGTGGAACTGACGTCAAAGGGAACATACAAAAGAAAAGAAGAGGAACCCATAAAAGAAAGCTATTCCTTCCTGCCTCTCCTATACAAAGATGAAAGAATAACACTTT